AGATCTGCTCCCCCATCAGAGCCGTGACTCAGCTCCTGAAGCCCCACCCAGGGGAGGGGGCACCTCAGGCCTGTCTGAGAGTCTGGATCCCTCACACCCTGTCACCTGCATCCTGCGGCTATGGGGCTCTCCCCAGGTCAAGAGTGCATAGGCGGGGTCCCCCTTCCCAGGGTTGGGGCCACTTGGCCCTACATTGCGGCCCACATTCTCCCACCCAACCCCACCCTAGGCCTTCCTGCCCCTCCCAGCTGCCATGAAATCCAGGTTACATCCTCAGCGTAGCACCTGATGGTGAGTGGACAGGGGGACTCCAGAAGGTCCTCAAAGCCCCATTAAATTTTAGCCCAACCCCAAAACCCACCCCATGCAGCTTCTGTGGCCAAGGTCTGGGGAATCTCCTTGGCCCCACCCCGAGGCTTGGCTGGGCACTTTCAAAGGAAGCCTGCCAAACCCCAGGCAGTGGCTGCACCCACTGCCCCACTGCAGGTGCCACAGACCAGCAGGCTGGTTTGGAAGGGAAGGCCTGGAGGTGAATGGGGTGCTGGCAGCCTGGATCCAACCAGGCAAAGTGGGCCTGGGCCCCTCCACAAGGGGAAGGGGGAACACGGGGCTTCCAATCGAGGGGCCAGGACCAGGCCCCCAGCTGAGACCCTGGCTACACCTCCTCCCACAGCTGGGTTCTGGAGGACAATGGGCAGGGGTGGGGGCCCAGGATCATGGGTCCAGACATGGGATCAGGCCTGAGTTGCTCACCCCACCTCTCACTCAGTGAGGAACAGAAGATGGGAGAACATGGAGGGTGGCCACCAGCCCTCTGTCCAGGGCCTGGGGCTGCTCTCTGGTCTGACCCCCTAACCCCTCATCCAGCCCTCCCAGATCTTTGTTGCTGACCCCTTGTGAGGTGGCTGTGCAAGAGGCTGGCTCCAGTGTCTCAGGTACAAGGGTACTGATGCTGAGACCTGCCGGGCACCCACAACAGGACCTCTTGATAACATACCCAGAGACCCAGCACACACACATGCATTTGCAAAGTGTGCACAGAAGCAGGGAAGACATGTGTTTGTGCAATCAAATGTGCCTGCACACAGTAGCACAGTGCTCACACAGATCGTGTATTCATGAATACATGCACACATGCACAGATACGTACCCCATGCTGGGACACATGAACAGATTAACGTATGTTTAGTGCCTACACTCATACTTGCGTGATAAACACCCACCACGGATATGTATCCACACCAAGAGGTGACATGTGCATGTGCATGGTGCACCTACCACTAGTCTGCACGCCTGCATCAAGCATGCCAGTTCAGGGGTGCAGATCACCCACACATTTCATGTCCAGGGTCTGGCACCTCAAGGGAGGGCGCAGAGGGGCAGAACTGACACATGTGCACCTGGCACGCAAGAAGTGCCCCGTTAAAGCTTATGTACACGCCATGAACTTGTCCACACAGATAAGCACGCCTGCACTCCCAGGAAAGACTAAAAGCACAAACCCAGGACTGGGAACAGCCTAGAATCTCCACCAATACCTCGAATCCAGTCTGCTCAGCTAGCCCCCACCCCTACAGGCGCCTAGGTCATCCCTGCCAAGCAGCTGCCCCAGACCCTAGACGTAGCTCCAGCTGCCTGTCCCTCTTGACTGTTCTGGACATGCGGACCAAGACAGATTCCAGGGGCAGAAGCCCTGTGCACCCTGACGACCCTAGCCAGAGCCAGACTGCAGGGCCCGGCAAGGTCTCAATCAGCCCTGTACAGGTGGCGAGCACGAAGGTGCAGACACAAAGCGGGGTGGACACTCTCACGGAGAGGTGGCAGTGACAGCGGCCGCCCCGCCCCACGCGCGCACCCTTCGCGCGAGGCGACCAGCACAAGGGGCATC